GTATATAGGGACTTTAGTGTACCATTTACATAAAATCGGACGAAAATATATATGGGAGCTATATTTAAATCTGTTCTATACTTCATTTAGTTACGCCAAAATTCGTGAAAAATTTTCAAAAATTGGGCGAAACTATAAAATAAAAAAACGATTTTCATTTGCTTTAAAAAAAATTCGTGTAAAAAAATTAAAAATATATGGGAGCTATATCTAAATCTGAACCGATTTTAAGAAAACTTAGCACACGTCATTCTTGACTTAATTAAGTACGCTATGCCAAATTTCGTGCAAATCGAATGATTTTCAAGGACGTTGGTGCATCATTTACATAAAATCGGGCGAAACTATATATCGGAGCTATATCTAAGTCTGGACCTATCTTCATGAAACTTAGCACACATCATTCTAGACTTAATTCAGTAGGACATACAAAAATTCGTGCAAATCGAAGGATATATAGGGAGTTTGGTGCACCAATTACCTTAAATCGGACGAAATATATATGGGAGCTATATCTAAATTTGAACCGATTTTTCGTCCTTGGGCCAAATGAATGAGTTGTGCCTGTTACAACACAACAATTTTGTCAGGGTATTATAGCTTTGTGCAGCCCCAAATGTTTGTAACGCCGCGAAATATTAGTCCTAGACCCACCTTTAGTATACCGATCGTCATATCTCGACTAGCTCAGTCGATCTAGACATGCGTGTCGGTCCAAGCTAAGAATATAGAACCACAGAAAATTATATTTTCATGGAAGTTGTCTAGGGTATCATATGGTCGGCCCCGTCCGACTATACTGCTCCGCTCACTGGTTTTAAATTATGTTAGGTTGTCTATCTTCCTTCCACAAATGATAAATATTGGTCCAGGCTAGGACCAAATAACAGCACCTCCCAAATGTCTGAGTGTTGGGGCTTTTTGGCGCGTTTTTTCAATCGAATTGGGTTTATTTTGGTGTTTTAGGTTATATTTCTCGATTTAGGTATTTTTAATGATTTTTAATATCTATTAAATAGTTGTAGGCTTTATAACTTCACCTAAAACATTTCATTTACGAGGGCAGTTCGGAACGTCCTTAGCCTAGCACAAAAATCGCAGTATAAACAAAAAAGTTAAGTTAAATTTTGTTTCGATCTGGAAACTCCTTCATATAGAAACATGTGTTCAAAAAAGACGCATCCGCAATTTTTTACAATGGAAAAATTAGAAATGCGTGCTTGCATTGCAAAAAATTGCGGAGCATCTATTTGAACACCTGTTCCTATATGAAGGAGTTGCCAGATCGAATCAAAATTTAACATGTGTTCATAACAGAGATGGAAGTTTCTCTTTATACCGCGCTTTTTGTGCTAGGCTAAGAACTTTCCGAACTGCTCTCCTAATATACACAAATATTTTCCTTTTAAAATATTTCGTAAAATTATCTTCCTAGTCCACTGTGTGCTGCCTGCTAAAAACATATTATGACACGACGACTACGACAGTAACAACAACAACAACTATGTTTATATATTTTCTTTTGCGAATTAATTTAACACAACAATCATGACAAGCTGTTGTTATTGTTATTAGTATTATTATTTGAGTGACATTCGTTGTTGTTGGGTTTTTATTTCCTTATGTGTAGTAAAATTTTGAAAATCGAAATTATGATGATGATGGCCGAAAAGAACAAACGGCGAATGTACGTACTCAAGCCACCAGTGAGCGAGAGAGGGTGAAAGAAGGAATGGCCGAGAGTGAAAATAACAAAGTTGTTGTGTTTCACTATTGTTGTTGTTATAGTTTTTTTGTTTTGATTTCACTATTTTTGCCATTCAAGTCAGCCAACCAGCCAGCTGTTTTCTATTGTTGTTGGTGTGGTTGTTGCTGCAGCGGCTGCTGCTGCCGCTACTTTTATTACTGGTAGTAGTTTTGTATTTGAAATGTGTTTTAGTTATCGGCTCCCCATTTGTTTTTCTTTTTTTGTTTTTGCTTTACACGTTTTCAAAATAAACAATGCTAGAGTTTGCCCTGCTGCCTGCCAGTCGCAAAAGAATCATCACAGACAATCCGCCAACCAGCCAGCCAACAGCAGGCCATGTGCTACTCTTTCGACGCAATCAAAACAAAAAATTCGCAGTTTCGTTGTCTTCACAGTTTATTAAATTCCCTTTACGAATAAACAACGTTTTGATCGGTTCACATCAAAAATAAATCGATCACGCTCGATCGGTCGGTCGGTTTTTTCTCTTCCTTCCACCTTTTTGGATTTCCTTATTGAAAATATCTAAAACGCCATCACCACCACCTCTAATTGACAGGCAACACCTTAACCATCCAGCCCGTCAACCAATCGAATATGATCTGACTGATGATATTCGCCAAATGCCGATTGTGTGTTTTGCATAAACAATATCTGAACAATTGTTTTTTGTTTTGTTCGAAATTAATTAATCAACTCTAGATATGACAGCAGTGCATTTATTCATGTTCATGTCCGATTAAATTTCAGTATTTTTGTTTTTTGAATGAATTTTCATTCAGAACCTTAAATAAAGCAGTGAAGTGTTAAAAAAATATATTGTGGTTTAAAAATAAAAAATAAAACAACAACAACAAACTCAGTGGTGCATTTAAGGAACAAGTGTTTCTTCGTTGCTTTTTGTTGTTAACCATTTTTGTTTACTTCGGGTCTGAGAGATTTGTTTTCATTTGGAATACTATTGGCATTTCCTGCGAATCTACGCCAGTGAATAGTGTAAGTGGAAATATGAAATATGCGGTTCAAAAGAGTAAATTGTAATGGATTTGAAAGTATTAAAGAACATTTAACCGAACATTCACATAAGATGGACTTTCAATATACCTAAAATTGATCGGAAAAACCACATTTCGGAAATCATTAAAATATTGAAAATTGGTTGTACATGGTTGTATGGAGGCTTTGGTATAGCCTCGATATTGAGTCATATTTAGTATGAAGATTTGACACTTGGTGAAATTCGATTTCAGAATATATTTTACTGATTTTGGGGAAATATCGAAAATTGGAGATTGACAACTCCTAGGGTAGTTGCTGGATGTGCAGGGTGAAACTGACCTAAGTCAACTTTACACTTCGTGGAAACCTAGGGAGGCTTCTAACATTGCAATTCGTAAACCGATATTGGTTTTATTTGGACCAAAATCGGCTTGGCAGTCGTTTTTTACTAAACAACTCTTCCCAAGCCACGTGTCGCCGATTGTGATCCGGTTGCTCTAGGTGTGGATGCCTTGTCACCTGCAGCTGTATATGCTACAATAGCATCAATTGTAAATTGTCGAAAATTGTGGTAGCTTTATATGAATACTGCATCAAAATGTGGACCAATATTTTTAATTATTGGCAGGAGGGTTAGATTCCCTATTAGAAACCAGAAATCCAAACTACAGCCAACTCGGTTGAAAAGTTTTTCAAAATACCTCCAAAAAATGTAAAGGAGGTGCCGTCATGTGGGGTCTCTTCAAAACGTGAACCGGTATTTATAATTTTTGGTAGGAAGAAAAATTTGGCACTCATTGAGAACCCAAAGTATCGAATTTTATAAAATTTGGTTGAATAAAATATTTTTAGGGATTTTGTGAATCCATAACATCGAAAATTGGGTTAGCTTAGTACCACAACGTGGACCAATATTTACAATTTTTGGCAAGAGGGTTAGTTTCCCTATGAGAACCCTATAAGAACTCGATTGAAAATTTTCAAAATTCCTCTCTTAATTAAAATTTGGGAACCCAAAATCGCAAGTTTCAGGCAGATCGGTTAATATTTATAAAAACGTCCACCGATATTTAGTAGAAATATTTGACACTAAATTGGAACACAAAATATGAGTCGATTCTGTTAAAAAACTTACCCAATATGCGGAATAACGGAAGGTACCGTTATAAGAGGTTTGATCTAAAACTTTATGCAATTCCGATACTTTTACGTAAATTTTGCCTCATGATTATAATAAATACTAATTACAGTCAATTTGAATGAAAAACATGATAAAAATACCGAAATTTGGGAGGAACAGCTATATGAGGGCTACCCTATAAAGTGGATTCAAATGGGCAATTTCTGGTAGGGAAATTTCCTACCCACTGAGAACCAAAGAGATGGAATTTGAACAAATTCTTTTGAAAAACGTTACGAAGTTCATAAAAATAACGAAATACGGGAGGTTGGGGTTATCCTAAGAAGTGGGCCAATATTCTCAAAAAATATTCCTAAAAAATTATGATTAATATACTGATGGTACCTCAAAAAATCCAGGTCTAATGTTTTGATGTTACCTCAAAAAATATTCTAAAAAAATCCACATCTGATGATAGTTCCAAAATATATGTGAAAAAAATTTCTAAACCAAATATTCTTAAGAAATATTTTCCTAAAATATCCACAAATTCACGCCTCGTGGTACCTCAAAAATATTCCTAAAAAATTCTTGAAAACGCAATGTCAAATTTAATACAAACTCCATCTTATAGTGGAGGTTATAAAAACCTGCACCTGAAACCTATTAATTGCACAATATTGCATCAGAATAATGAATGAATATGTCTGGCAAAATCACCACTGATATTGATCAGTGATTTGTAATATACAAAGCTTTTAACTTAAATAACAATTAAATTGAAAGTCATTAGGGCTTCAGAACCTCTCAAAGAAAGAAAAGAAACAAAACAAAGGTCGAAGAAACAACAGCAGAGAGAGAGAAAGGCAGGCCAACCAGCTGATTATTTGTTTAGCCAGCCTGCCCTCTAAAAACCTGATGGCCGACTGACTCATGTTTTTTTTTGTTATTTGCTTTTGTTGTTATTAAGAACAAAAACGCAACAACAACAAAATACCGCACCAATATAAATATAGTAATGACAACAACTAAAAGACGTTTTTGTCAAAAAATAATAATATTTACTTTTAACACATTGAAGATACGTTTCAAAACAATTTTTAAAAATTTCCATTTCCTCCTTTTCATTTGCAGGCCTCTTTCTGGAGTCTGGGCAGTTTAAATTGGAATTTATCCTTTTCAACATCTGGACGTCGTCATCATTCCTTTAAGCAGCGGCAAAAATCTTCACGCAAAAGGTAAAGTCAATTTGTTGTTATTTTTTTTACAAATAATCATTTTAATGTGTGTTTTTTTTTTTCTCTCTTTGTTGTTGTTGCTGCAGCTTTAGTACCCTACAGTATAGTCGCCGTTCGAAAACGCAATGGCATAAACCTCTAACCAATGCCATTTTCAGTTCACACTTTAAAGAGTCGAGTCGTAATAGTGAATTTCATATTGACCATTTGGTAGCTAAGGGTGCCTTCGGTGTGGTTTTCAGAGTTATTGATAAGAAGAAAACCGAAGAACAACAACATCTACTGCAGCAGGAACATAATCACCACCACCAACATCAGCAGGCAGAGAAAAATACTGATAATACAATTTCTACAACTCCTCCTGTTGTTGTTTATGCATTAAAAGTTCTGAAGAAATCTAAAGTGAGTAACAACGAAGTCGATTGGATGGTGGCAATACAATGTATTTTACACCATGCAACAAGGAATGGGTTTTATAGAGAATATTTTTAAATTGAATTTTTATGAATATTTTCGGAATTTCCATTAGAACGTTACTCTGGGTTTACACATGCAACCTTTCTAAGCAACTCTGCTGAGTTCTTAGAAGAGATAGGTGTAAAAAGTGGCAATGGGAAAGAAATTCAAAAGAGAGCAGCAGCAGAGTTGCTTAAAAAGTTGCAAGTTTTATTGGAATCGGTTCAGATTTAGATATAGCTCCCATATATAGTTTCGTCCGATTTTATGTACATGGAGCACCAAAGACTCAAATTTAGGGCGATTCGCACAAAATTTTGCACAACGTATTAAATTAGGTCTAGATTGACGTATGTCAAGTTTTGTTGAAATTGGTTCAGATTAAGATATAGCTCCCATATATAGTTTCATGTAAATGGGGCACCAAACTCTCGATATTGGTCCGACTAAGACAAAGTTTTGCACAGTGAAAATCTCAAGAACTCTTGAAGATATAGCCGATTTATTGTGTCAGCATCAAGTGACGGCTTCTCAAACTTTAAACGCGTTTTTCTCTTTTGTGAATGGCGGGCACGATAACTCAAAAAATATTAACCAAATCGATTCCAAATTATTACACGTTTCTCTGTGAGTGTATAGCTATCGTATGAACTAGGATAAAGCCAAACGGTGAAGATCATCCTTATTTTTTAACTTTTTGGTCAAAAATCGGCGATTTTCCAAAAATATGTTTTCAAAGGTCGGCCATTTTGTTAATTTTAGAGCGAAGTCAATAATCCTAGTTCATACGAGAGCCAGACATGTACTCTTTCTAACACCGTTGGAATTTTCTGATTCCGATGCTTTAGCGAGGAGTTATCATGCCCGACATCAAAAATAAGGACTTTTCTTTAATTACAAAAAACAACAACAAAACAATAACAAAAATTGTTTGTAAATTATTTTTCTTCTCTTTTTAATCTTCAAATATATATGTGAAAAATTACAAACCTTAACAAGCATTGGTATTGATTTACTAGCCCATTAAAAATCTTGAAAAATTAGAATCGAGAATGGGTGGGGTTCCCTTAATGTAAATGGTGTACTAAAGAGCCTATATATTCTTCGATTTGCACGAAATTTGGCATAGTGTAATAAATTAAGTCCAGAGTGATGTGAGTTAAGTTTCGTAAAATTCGGTTCAGATTTAGATATACCTCCCATATATATATATTCGTCCGATTATAAGTAAATATTGCAACAAAGCCCCTATATATCCTTCGATTTACACGAAATTTCGAACAGCGTACTGGATTATGCCTAGAATGATGTTTGCTAAGTTTCGTGAATTCGGTTCAGATTTAGATATAGCTCCCAAATATATTTTCTTCCGATTTTATGTAAATGGTTCACCAAAGACCCTATATATCTTTCGATTTGCACGATTCAGCAAAGCGTACTGAATTCAGTTTAGAATGATGTGTGTTATGTTTGGATTCTCATAGGGTACCCAACATTTCTATCAAAAATTATCGTTATCTTTTGGTTTTTGAGAATGTCGGTATGTTGAAAGTCCTACCCCAATTCTATGACCAATTCTATGTGTGTCCGTCCGCCCGTTATAATTTGTAAACTCGATACAGGCCACAGTTATGGAATTGGTCCTACCCCAATTCTATATCTATTATGATATAATTAGTTAATACCCTAACAGAGCTTTATATAGATTATATATATTGGAGATTTATTTTATTATTACTATCATTATTGTCTATTTTCTAATAATATTTTTGTTGTATAATTGTGTATTCTTAAATATGTTCTATTATTGCCTGGTGTACACATTTGTTTTGTTTATTTTAATCACTTCTTTTTTTGCGTGTGCTTCCCCTAATATTTTATATTTTTTGTTTTCTATTTCAGATCATATCGGAGAATAGTATACAACAAATTAAAGACGAAGCCGATATACAAAAATTGTGTGGCCATCATCCGTTTATTGTTCAACAAATTGATTTGTGGCAAAATCGTCATAATTTGCATATACGTAAGTATGACGAGACGGGAGGGGGGAAATTCATTGATTCATCGGGATTTCCCACCAAAAAATGTTTCAGTTTCATGTGAACTATTAAGGAGAGAGAGCAATTTATGATCTGTTCAGATTCAGATATAGCTCTCATATATATTTTTGTCCGATTTAAGATTAATGGTACACCAAAGTCCCTATATATGTTTCGATTTGCACGAAATTTGACATAGCACTCTGAATTAAATGTAGAATGATGTGTGTTAAGTTTCGTGGAAATCGGTTCAGGTTTAGATATAGCTCCCATATATTTTTTCTTCCGATTTAATGTAAATGGTGAACCAAAGTCCCTATATATCTTTCGATAGGCACGAAATTTGGCATAGCGTCCTAAATTAAGTCTAGAATGATGTGTGCTAAGTTTCGTGCCTGATCGATATTACCGAATAGTGTGTATCAAGTGTGCTATAAATTGATTTACACAAATTTGTCACATTGAATTTTAGCATAGGCTTCTGAAAGGCAGGTGTATGGATTAATATTAGTTGTTGTTGTTGTAGCAGCCCTATTGCTTTTACACAATGGGCTGATGTCGGTTCATTTATTGATAAAGATCAAATCAAATCAATTTTTTTAATGGAATTTTAAAAGAAAATTGAGAATTTCCATATGTAGAATATACCCAAAGTGGTAAAGGGTATCATACAGTCGGCCCAGCCCGACTTTACTATTTTTCGTACTGGTTTATATTGATATTTTACTGTCTCTAGAAAAACTAAAGGTATTCTGTGGGGGATATAAAGGGGTATATTTGTATATAGAAGATATAGAAGTCGTACATTGTCTATAAGAATATCATCTTTTCTGTTTTTATATAGGGTCTTTAAATCCTCTGTTGGTTATAGAAACATTAATGTCTGCATTGTCTATGTCATTTTTTTCTACAGAATACCTATACACCTAAGTCTGTTTATACACGGTCTTTTTGTACACTAATTTAGGCGAATTTAGGCGAATTCCCTTTATGTATAAGATCAGTGTCTTTTTTACACGTTTTTTTACACGGCTTCTTCTGGAACCAATGTACCGTATAAAAACAGACTTAGGTGTACATCTTGTGTATAGAAAATACCCAGAGATATTTTATAGAATATTCCAAGGTTTACATATTGATAGAAGAATCTTTGATAAGTCTTTGTTAATAAAAATAAATATTCAAGGCCTAGATATCTTCTTTTTATCTATACACAAATTACCTACTGCAAAAACGATTTATTCCATGGCATGTTTGTAGAATACCCTTAATATTTATTTTAATTAATTTATTTTATTTTTCAGTTTCCGAATACGTACCAAATGGTGAACTTTTCTCCAGAATTGCAACATTTTCATTGGATCTAATTCGTATCTATTTGGCTGAAATTGCTTTGGCATTGGGTAATATATTATTTGTCATATCATATTAAAACCAATTATTAATATCTCTTTATTTCTTCTTACAGATTTCCTACACAACGCTGGCATTATATATCGTGATGCCAAACCAGAAAATATCCTACTAACTGCTGATTATCATTTAAAATTAACCGATTTTGGTTTAAGCAAGTGGCTGAAATTGGGTTTAAGCACAAAAACTATGTGCGGCACATTTCAATATATGGGTACGATTTGAAAGATATATATAACAACAAAAAAGTAGAAACTATCAACCTAATCTCTCCCTCCAAAAAACAACAACAACATAAAACGCTAATAAAATTAGTAAAAGAAAGATAAGATATACATAGAAATTAAAGAAATAGTAGAGATAGCAAAAAACAAAAAGCTAACCACCAGTAGAATTAAAAAAAGGATAATACCACACAACAATAAATTACTACCACTACTACTACTCCTCCTACTATAACTACTTTTAAATAGATAAACTTCTCTCCGCCAGAAAGAAACAGAAAGAAAAAACCAAAAAACAACAACAATAGTGATTTTTAGTATTATTGAAAAAAGAAAAACAGTTACTTTTACTTGTTCGTCTATCAAAATGAATGCTCGCTCACAAGTTTTCGATCTAACCATGGAGGGTCGTCAAGTGGACGAAGCTGTGGCAAGTATATTTCATACGGTGCTATTCCATCGCTGCCTTGGTAAATATATGTACACCGGCGATGCTCAGTACTCCATTGGTACTGTCGGCTATACCGATGTCGATTGTGATTTCATTGACTTCACCTATGTCTGCTGTACATCAGATAGTCTGCAACGTACCGTTAAACGGGCCATTAATGTTTTCAGTGAAAAACTGCGTTCCAATGAAGGCTGTGGTTCGGGTCAAATAAGTTTAGAATTTTTCCAAAAGAAAAAATCGCGATGGCCCTTCACGGCCGAATGTATACCGTGGGAGGTGTGGACAATACATTTGGATTTGATAAAACATGAAAATGAAGATGAACGGCAAATGTGTCGTGAAAATGTTGCCGATCTGCTGACGGATAAGGTGATCTATATAACGGAAATCATGAATAGACATGATTATGTACCCAAGACACCGAGTCAAAGTGAATTGGACTTGATATTCGATACCACATATCCCGATGTACAGCCGTATCTATTTAAATTTGTCTCATCCACATCGAATTCGGCAGCGCCCTCAATGGGAAATGCCATGAAGAAAATTATTAAGGAGACGCTTGCATTGTGACGCGTTGCAAAGCCGTTACTATTAACGCAGCAATCTAATTATCTAAAGGCGAAAGCAGTGACAACACAACAGCAGCAGCAACAACAAAAAGATGCAGCAAAGGACATGCGAAAGAAATGTCTATGTGATAATAAGAAATGTATTAAACAAAAGTCGACGTCGTCGTCTCAAGTTGTTTATAAGTTCTATCAAGAGATTTCTACAACAATGGCTGAAAGCAGCTACAGTAGCAGCGGTAGCAACGAAGACAATGAAAACGACAGTGGTGATGATGGTGATGAAGATGCTGATGGCGGCGGCCTTGGTCCCAAAGTCATGTGGCAATTATCGGATACCAGTTGCAGTGAGTCCACACTGGCCACCATCACCCCTATGGCTTTGAAAAAGAAACAAATGATTGTTTACTACAATGCCACAACAAAACACCAACCATTCTATGGTTTTCTACACGCTTTGGCTCGTGATTTTATGTTCATTTGCTTCTGTCGCCATCATCACCAAAGACGTTTAGGTACATTTTAAAATGGAAAAAATTAACAACAAAGCAAAACAAAACTTCAAAACTCTCAGTTAGTTAATTTAAAACATTTTTTTAGAATTTCTAATTAATTTAATGTAATGTTAACAACAAATGTATTTTATAATTTTAATTTAATTTACTTTAAGTAATTTATTTCAAATGTGATTGGTGAATGTGTGTTGAATGGAATGTTTACTTTTTGGAATGAATGAATGTTTGATATTGAAACGTATGTTTAATAAAATAATAACACGGTGCTAAAATAAAAAAAGAATGTTGAAAAAGAAAATTATAAACAAACCGATTTTGTTAATAAAAATCTCCCATTTATGAAATTCTTAAAAATTTTCAAGGAAACTCGGCTAAGAAAAAGTCAACTACTTGTCCAGATTAAAAATGATATACAAGTCTAAAAGAGTGTGCACATTTCAAATTAAAAAATAGCAAACTCTCTATTATGTCAATTGATTTAAATTGAAAATTAATAATTTTAAATTTGGAAAAAATTAAGCCATGTTTCTTCAAGTTCAAGGTTAAAAACCGAACCAATATAGCTGTTTTTTTAACCAAAAAAATGTCTAAAATTTTGATAAAAAAAACGTAGAAACAAATGGTCCTCAAAAGGTGAATTCCAAGCAGAAAAGCCTGAGCTCCTTTTTTTAGATATTGAATATCTTTGATCTGAGAAAACATAAAACTAGAGATGCAAAAAATAATTTTTTAAAACCCAATAACTTCTGTTTCGTTTGTGAAATAAAATCATTTCGAAACAAATGAGAAAATGTGGATGGATTGTTTTTATACTATCCAAACTGAAGTATTTATATTCATTTATACTTAAATAGAGATTAAATCTGTGTGTACAAAGGATCTTCAAAAAATATATTGATGTTGAAAAAGAGAAGAAAATAATAATCTTTATTTGTAAAATGATATCGAATAGATTTTAAAGAAATAATTGTTTCTGAGGGTCAACAAAAATGATTCTCCCTGCCAATGACATACAACTAAAAGAACAATGACTCTAAAGAAAGTTTAAAATAAATATTGGGTTTAAAATACTGTGAGCTTTAGATAATGAGAACACTCAAACTGACATTAATTGTCCTTGCAGAAAATTATTGAAAAAAATCCACGCCTTGTGGCCTAATTGTCCTTGCAGAAAATTATTAAAAAAATCCAAGCCTTGTGGTATAATTGTCCTTGCAGAAAATTATTTCAAAAAATCTACGACTTGTGGCCTAATTGTCCTTGAAGAAAATTATTGAAAAAAATCTACGCCTTGTGGCCTAATTGTCCTTGAAGAAAATTATTTAAAAAAAACAATTCTAAATTTTATTTTTAATCTTTTTTAAATATTTATTTAAAATTGCTTAAAGAGTCATGATTTCAGACCTAATCTAACTTTTGGAAGAAAAATACATATTTTTGGTTTTCATCAAGTGGATGTTGAGTGCTTTCAATAAATTTATTTTAAAATTTGATTGAATTTTTGAATGATTTATTTATTTTATAAATATATCGTTAGCTAAAATGCAAAAAAGGCGTAACTAACAAAAAAATTAAAATTGACTTTTTGAATGAATATTGTGAATGTTAAACTGATGTGTTACAAAGTCAATTTCAATTTTTTGTTAGTTACCCTTTTTGTATTGATGGGAATATATATAAAATTGAGATTGATATTGTTTTCCCTATGTAGGATCCTTCTACAAACCCTCCTCTTTTTATAGAATTGTTATATGGGAAGTATTATTTTTTATATACATTCCCGTTGTGTCACCCACAGTTCGGACCTTCGTACCATATTTATAATAGCACCGTGTAATTAATAATATATGAATGAACTGTAATTATTTAAATAATTTCTGTAAAAACAACTATATATTGATGAGTACCTATAATTTAATTTTTTTTATAAATATATAAAAACAAGAAACAACAATAATTTTATGTTATTTTGTTTGTTTTAATAATTAAGAACGAAAAACAAAACTTAAAACGTGATAATACAAATATTTATCTATCTATCTACATATATAAAAAATTAATCTAATCTAACTACTTGTAAAGAGAAAAAAACACATATTTTTAGTTTTGCTATAAATCCTCAAAAATAATAAACATTATTTTTTAAGTTAATAATAATAAAAACAACAATAACAAATTTAAGTTACTTATGACACATTTGAATTATTGCAAAGCGAGAAGATTAAACAAAACATCAGCAAAAAACCCATCGTTTAGTTTTTTAAGCAGCATCACTTGATTGTAAAACAACATTAAGTAAAAAAAATATTAATCTATAGAATCCACTCTATAAATATGTACACATAAATGTGTATATATCAACCATTACCTTATATGTATTTCATTTTATTTGTTTCACTCTCAACAAAAAAAGAAAATAATAAGAAAATAGAAAACTTTACTGAGAATAATAACAAAACACCAATTACAATTGAAATCTATGAAATGGACCATTATTTAGTCTTAGTAATACAAAAACTAATATTATTAATAATTACTATTACTATTTATATGTTTTTTTATTTTGTTTAATTTTTTTCTACTACAACCATCTACTCATACACTATACATATATTTGTACACACGAAAGAAACATCCTACCAACTGCCAGTTTATTTTTAAGTTTTATTTTTTTGATTTTGATTTTTTGTGTTTTTCATATTTTTTTAGTTATAATATGCCAATTTAATTTTGTTTTTACATATCTATCTATATAAATATACAGCCTTTTAAAGGTGGTTTTTGTATAAATATAATTTGTTAATATAATTCATTTATTATTGTTTTTGTTTTATATAAGCATAAATATATTTTGCAACTTTAGCAATTGTGCTATTAAATGTTTACACTTTAAAAATGTAATGATATCATCACATTCGAAACTGAATATTTAGGAATTAACCCAATTTTTGTTATGAAGAATTGAAAATGTAAGAAAATTATTTTTAATGGGTCAAACCTTAAAAAAATAAAAAAAAAACTCATAGACTTGTTCGTGGAACCTATTTCAATATGAATGCTACTTTATTTCAAAAAGTTGTCCTTTAAAATCTCCACATTTTTTATCTCGGCTATATCTATGCTGATCAAAAGCCATGAACCTTAAACTTTTCTCAAAATTTCTATTTAAAGATTTTTTACAGAACTTTATGAACTTTGAAGATGGGCTAAGTATACGCGACGAACACATGTCCAATTGAATTATTTCAAAAAGTTGTCCCCACTATCTCGGCTATATCTCACTCCCTATGCCGATCAAAAGCCATGAACCTTAAACTTTTGTCAAAATTCCTTTTTAAAGGTTTATTTTACAGAACTTCATGAATGCTCCTTTCAGTCTTTTAGAAATTCTGTTTTCTTCAGGAAATTTCCAAGTACAGAAATTGAGACCTAATGTTAACAATAGTTGTAAAGAGACAGGTTTATATTTTCGCTAGATTCTTTATATGCTCTGCCCGTAATATTATCTGAACATCATTTTATTTTTGTAGCAGTCATCATCTCGTTGGACCTTCCATATATTCTAGATGAGTCTGTTGACTGAACATGCCTTGAATCTACCGATTTCTTATGATATTTGTAGGTAACGCTCCATTTTCGGTATTTTTAGCCGCAATTCCCTACCGAAGTGGCTGTAATCTTATAATTCGGGGTCCTAGGACAGTATTACAAATATTGGTCCATGTTTTGCCGTCGTGTTAGGTATTTTTAATGGTCCTAGGCGCATTTTCCAATCCAAGTGGCAAAACTTAGGCACTTCAGCATTCCAGAGCATAAAATACATCATAATAAGCTTTTTTTGAGGTCTTAGCGGTCATAGATTTTCAGGATAAATGATATCCTCAAAGAAATGTTGCCATTTAATGTTTTTATACTCTCAGCCTTAGGGCTAATCAGGGTATATACACTTTGATACCGTGAAAATGTGCCTCATCGAAATATTGGTTTTGGACCATATCCGTTTTAGAAAATTTGTATTCGATTTACACATGGCCGTCCGTCCGTCTATCTGGCTGGTGCGCACGATAACTCTCGAAGGGAATAATCGATTTCAAAAAACTTTGTACATCTTAATATTTCTTCCCCTCAAAATTGTGCTTAAAATTAATTTTATAATAACATGCAAACGGATTATCCGAAATTTGTACAACAAAATCTGGCGAATGGAATGTCCAAGAGGGTCACAATTTTCAATATTTTTAAATTCAATATTAGGCTAATGAAATGCCTAATTTGAACCGAACTTTGCACAACCTATTATATTTACCGAGCCTAGATCAAGTTTGAAGATGGGACCTATTGGTCCACTCCTCCTTGTAACTCCCCCACAAGGGGTCAAAATTTTTAATATTTATGAAACCAATATCTGGCGAATGGAATGTCGGACTGGAACCAAATTTTGCACAACCTATTACACTTTATTAAGCCTTATAAAATCAAATTTTTTAATATTTATGAATCCAATATCTGGCGAATGGAATGTCCGACTGGAACCAAATTTTGCACAACCTATTATATTTACCAAGCCTAGATCTAGTAGGAAGATGGGACCCATTGATCCACTCCTTCTAGAAGCTCCCCCGCAGAGAGTCAAAATTTGTAATATTTATGAATCCAATATCTGGCTAATGGAATGTCCAAGCCTAGATCTAGTAGGAAGATGGGACCCATTGGCCCACTCCTTCTAGTACCTCCCCCACAGAGGGTCATAATTTTCAATATTTATAAATAAAAAACAAAATAACCTACACTATCTATTACCTTTACTAAGCCTATATCAAATCCGAAGATGGGATGCACTGGTTCACTCCTTCTGATACCTCCCACAAAAATGGTCTAAACCCTCTCCGCAAACCATAGGGTGAGGGTATATATCTTCGAGGTCTATACCTATTCCCGTCAATTGATGTGGTAATACATTGGGTTTTTCGCATAAAAAAATCTGTTTTTATGTTAGCGGAGACTTTTCTAATAATTGGTAGAATAAACGTCATTGTATCTGTATACCCAACATCCTCCCAGGTTTTGCAGGCATTTTTTTTTGAAAACAAGAACCTACAGCAATACTGTGGTTCCTTGATTTACATATAGATTTCCAGATTCCGCTCTAAAAATGCAGTCAATATTTCGAAATAAATTAAATTTTTTAATAATTAAAAAAAAAATTTGGTTGTTAATAAAATTGATTTAATTTTTGTTTTATTTAAAAACAAACTAAAATATTTTTTTTTCAAATTTTAACAAAATAGTCCATCTCCCCGGAAAGAAAATTTAAAATATATATTTGAAGCACCCAAAAAAAAAATACACACAAAACTCACATAGGAATCAAAAATATATTCAAAGAAAAATAATACGAATAGTAAACAATTAAAAACAAAAAACCAATATATATTAAAAAAATATTAAAAACAACAACAAATATATTGTGATTTATATTTCAAATGTTTAGAAATGTAAGCAAACAAAAAAAATCTAAAATAAATAAAAAATATGATCTTCAAAATTTTAGTAATTTTTTAGTAGTGATAATAATTATACTTTAATATATTTACTAATAATTATAATGATTATTTTTTTGTATTAGAATTATAGTTTTAAGTAGGATTTATTTCAAATTTTTAAAATTAAAAAAACATAACTATATTTTTTGAAATGAAATTGGCAACATTTTAGTGATAGGTGAGAAAGTAAAAAAATTATGAAATATTTTATTTCAACATTAATTTTGAAAAATTCAAGAAAAAATATATTTATATATACATTTATTTTTTTCACCTTGTGCACTAAGTAAACATTTAGTTTTAAAATTAAATATCTAAAATTTAAAAAATATATATATTATAAAAACTGAAGAATGAAATTTATTTCAATGTGATTTGCTTAATGAAAAAATATATACACATATATCTATATAATAGTAAAAAAACAATGTCCACAATTTAACCTGGAAAAAAGAAGGAATAGAATGAATCGTATATCCAATAATATAATATTTACCCTCCTCACAACTACGAAACAAACAAAAACCAAAATGAATTATAATAATGTTATATATAAATTAAAAAAAAAAAAAAAAAAATATATATAAAAATGAAAAGTGATTTTTTTTTAATTATAGTAATTTAGTGTTTTAGTGTAGTTATAAGTAATAAGCATATGAAAATTTATTAATTATATCCATATATCTAATAATAATAATTAATATACTATTAATATTATTAATATGATTAAGAGAACAATGCTGTGTAAATATTCTATGTATAGTTAAAAAACAACCAACAAAGAAACAACAACAAAAAACTGAAAAGAAAATATTAAATCAAAAACATAATTTTAAAAATTAATTATACCAATGGTGTTTTCATTTTTTGTGTGTGATAATGGTAGCCTAGAGATTCTCTTCCTTTTTTGTTTTCCTTTATTGTGTTTTCTCTTCCTTTTTTATATTTTTTTCTCCTTTTTGCTTTTTTATTTTGTAACAGGTAAGTAAATTCGTTCTTTTTTTGTTTTGTTACAGCTCCGGAAATTTTAAGGGGTGAACCCTATACGCATTCGGTTGATTGGTGGTCATTGGGCATAATTGTTTGTCAAATGTTTATTAAAAAGGTAAGTCCGAATTTCCTTTTTCCTAAATTTTGTAATACAAAACATAAAAGAAATACATAATATATATAGATCTTTCTATAGGAAGACCTATACGGCCTTCTATAGGAAGACCTATACGGCCTTCTATAGGAAGACCTATACGGCCTTCTATAGGAAGACCTATACGGCCTTCTATAGGAAGACCTATACGGCCTTCTATAGGAAGACCTATACGGCCTTCTATAGGAAGACCTATACGGCCTTCTATAGGAAGACCTATACGGCCTTCTATAGGAAGACCTATACGGCCTTCTATAGGAAGACCTATACGGCCTTCTATAGGAAGACCTATACGGCCTTCTATAGGAAGACCTATACGGCCTTCTATAGGAAGACCTATACGGCCTTCTATATGAAAGACCTATACGGCCTTCTATAGGAAGACCTATACGGCCTTCTATAGGAAGACCTATACGGCCTTCTATAGGATAACCTATAGGCCTTCCTATAGAAGGCCTATCCTATAGGCCTTCCTGAAAGACAGATACAACTGTCTGAGGATTAAAATAAAAATTGTTTTTTTTTTATCTAAACTCTGTGCCTTTATATGATCTTAAATACAAAATTTTAGATTTTTATTCCGACAAAAAAATTTTTTGACACTGAAAGGGTTAACAATTCATCAACGCCCAGACGAAACGGCTGAAATTTTGGGTGAGGGTCAATTTAAGTCCCAAGGTGTCAGAAAAGACTTGGTTTTTGCAAATTCGTACTACAACGTCACGAAACGTACTAAATATGTTACCATTTCTATTTGTTGAGGAGTTAGAACTCCAAAATTTGAAATGAGGGTAACTGATGGAGTGTAGGATAGATGTGACAAAGGATTTATTGAAATTTGAACTATAAGTATCCGAAAAGTATTAAAATGTACTAAATTTGTTACAATTTCGTGAACGGATAGAGTTAAAAATTTGAAATTTGGAATGCAAATCAAGATTGAGAAGTAGGGTCGAAATAAGGAGATGGTTTTGGAAGTGTTTAGTCATGTGTACGAAAAGTGCCAAAAGGTACTAAATCTGGTACAATTTGAATTTTGAGGAACGGATGGAGCTAGAATCTGAAATTTAAAATTAATATTACCGTCGGAGTGTAGGATTGGGATATTTAGGTAATTTTGGATATTTGTACTTATGAGTACGAATAGTATTAAATGGTACTATATTTGGTAAATTTGGATGAACCGATAGAGCTTGAACACTGGAAATAAGATTACTACTGCATTGTAGAATTGAGGTATGTTGGTAGTTTGGGAAATTCGTACTTATGTGTACTAAATTTGGTACAATTTGAATTTTGGGTGAACCCATTGAGCTGGAATCCTGAAATTTGGAGTTGAGATCACTGTTGGGATGTAGGATTGGGGTATGTAGGAAGTTTTGGAAAATGTGTATAAAATGGTTCTAAATTTGGTACAATTAGGATTTAGTTTAACCGATAGAGCTGGAACATTAAAATTTGGAAATAAGATTATTGTTGGTGTCTGGGATTGGGGGGTAAGCATGTAGTTATGGAAATTTGTACTTATGGGTACTAAATTCGATACAATTTAGATTTAGGGCTAGAATAGTACACATTTGAAATTAAGATTATTATTGGAGTGTAAAATATTGTACTTATGGGTACTAAATGGTACTAAATTTGGTACAATTTTACATTTTGGTGAAACGACAAAGCTGGAATCCTGAAATTTGGAGTTAGGATCACTGTTGGGTTGTAGGATTGGGGTATGTAGGAGGTTTTAGAAGCGCCTTCTAATGTGTACTAAATTTTGCACAATTTAAATGTTGGGTAGAGCTGGAATCCTGAAATCGTGTAATAAAGTTAACATTGGTTGTATGTTATTGGTAGTTTTGGAAATTAGTACTTATGCGTCACTGTTGGGGTGTAGGATTGGGATATGTGGGAAGTTTTGGAAATTCGTACTAATGTGTACTAAATGGTATCAAATGTGGATTTGGGTAAACCGATAGAGCTGGAATCTTGAATCATTGAAGTTAGGATCGCTGTTGGGGTGTAGGGTTGGGATACAATTATATTGGGTGAAGAGAACGGGCTGGAATTCTGAAAATGGAAAATATAATTTCTATTGTATTTATATAAGTGTGCACTATTAGAGGTACAAAATTTGTTTTTGCAAAATAGTCAGGCTGAATCCCAGTTTGTTGTTTTTATAAAAAACAAATATTTATTAGTGGGAAAGGTATGGAATTGTTTGTAAATGCCTTGTTAACCTCGAAGTGAGGCTCCAGCGAAATTCTCATACAGTTTATGTCGCTGGTCAGCTAAGTACTTCGCTTTGTTACAAGAGACATGAACGGTTTTTTGTATAGAAGCAATAGCTTCTGGGGAGGATATCCCAACAAAATACTAAGGGAACTGAGGAGGATCAGTGGCGTGATCCGAAACTATAGTCTTCCTTGCCTTACCCCTCGGCAAACAATGCCATACATTCCCCACTAATAAATAGTTGTTTTTTATAAAAACAACAAACTGTGTGTACAAATGGTATCCCAAATAAACCGCCAACACTACTGGTACTAAATTTTGTAAAATTAAGATTTGGGTGAACCTATAGATCTCGAACAATGAAATTTGGAATACTTTTTGGAAATGAGCACTATAAAGAGTACGAGAGGTTATAAATGATACCAAAATTTGTATAGAGCTAGATTTGCGTTGCGGTCAGAATTGATGTGTAGTGTTGAGATATAGTGTTGAGAGATGGGCAGTGGGTAAATACCCGGTAAATTCCCATTTGTGGGTATTGAATCGCTAATACAACATCATATACTTTATTTCCGGGTTTCTGTTATCAAATGGATTTAAAGTGTATTGTGAAACTATACTTTAAAAACGTTGGTAAATACCCGAGTATTTAGTCAAAAATTGGGTTTAAACTCATTAACTGGCGAACCACTTGACGCAGCCTGCCAAATTTGGCTCACATGTTGTTAATGTCAAAACTAATACTGGTATAGGTAATGGAGTTTTTGGGTCCAAGTTTTGATAAAGCCCTGTATAGCCTGTCTGCACTTTCATTCTATGTCATTCATGTTTTCTCGAAGAAGACTGAGTCCAGAAGAGTCAGCAACCTATGAAAGATGATATTTTGCGGTTTAAATCTTGATCAATATTGTAGGATATACCAAGTTACTTATAGGATTCTATATATTTTGATATTGTTTAGTCACATTTTCGAAAACGTGCTCAGAATCTAAGTTTAGTCCAGCGATAGTTGCGTAGGGTATATTAGGTTGGGGAAAAATAAATCCATTATTTTTATATGAACTATAGTACTTTATTTTACATGCTTCGGAATGTCCGATATGCACCGTTTTGTTGTATGATTTGTTGCCATTTTAAAGGCAACTTCCTAATGCCTCTCTCATAGATGTTCTGCTCTCTATTTGCAAAGAACTCTAGAAGTTGATTTTCACATTCCTTATCATTTAAGAAATTTTTCAATGCAATAAAAATATGATAATCGCTTCGTGCCAAGTCCGGAATGTGTGGCGGATGCATTAAAAATTCCTAACCGATGTTTCTGGGGAGTCACTGTAGATGTGTGTGGCCTAGCGCTGTTATTGTGGAACACGACACCTCTCCTGTTCACCAATTCTGGCCGTTTCTAGGCAATTGCTATCTTCAAACGGTCCAGTTGTTGACAGCAGAGTTTACAATTTAGCGTTTGGCCATATGAAAGCAACTCATAATAAATAACCTTCCTGGTCGTTAATCCTGGTTTAGGCAACGTTTGAGGTGCTTCATCGCTCTTTGACCACCAACGTTTACGCACAGGGTTATTGTATGTGATCCATTTCTCATTTCTAGTCACCATCCGTTTATGAAATGGGTCTATCTCATTCCGTTTGGCCTAGGCTTCGCAGATGGAAATTTTTTCCTCTTAATTGGTGCGGCTCCCAAGCATCGAGCTTCTTTTTAAATCAAGCTTTGTGTAAATGGTTTAAAATAGTATTATTGTCGATTTAAAGCACCTGGGCGATGTTACGACTGTTAACATGCCGGTCAACTTCGTCAATTTCTCCTATTTTATCGACATTTTCATAAGTGGATTTCTTTTTCCCCAAATTTTATATTTGGTCAATATTGCGGGTCCGAATCATGTAAAATGTGTCGAATTCGTCTCAAGGCCTTCGTTTTCCTGGGCTCTGACATTCCTTTTTTGAGGTTTCACATTCTGTTTGATCGTTACCCACCTCGTTTATTCGTACCTGTTCCAATGTAACAACGCCCCAAACCATACAGATACCCTAAACATTTGTTATGAATATGCCCCGCGAACTATTTAGTTTCTTATTGAACTCATTTCCTTGTCAAAAATTGTATTTCAGATTATTAGCAGGGATGGGAAGTTTCCTGAAGCGATAGTGGATTAACTCTCCGAATTTAAAATCAGCCATTTCCATGGGATTATGTCCGAACACTGTGTAATTCTACAAAAACAATATTTAAACAGCATCCACAAGAAAACACTCCGTCAAAGTCAAATTCGTTTTTTATTTCCATTTTTATTTATCTTCAGTCTATTTAAAAGAAAATAATAATAAAAGAAAAATCATATAAAATCATGTTTATCAATCTAACGATGAAGACAAACGACAAATTCTCCAAATATATGAACTCCCAAGAAAAACATATGTCTGAAAAAAAATCTATAGATTTCAAATAATCCTCGGACAATGTTCATAAATCGAGAAGTTGTCGTTATTCCTTCTCGTGTTAAAATTTATATTACGGATCCGTTTGTATATGTATGTATAGGTTATGTGGGTCTGATTAAAAATTAGAGATTGCATTTGCCAGCTTTTATGTTTGTGTGTTGTTTCTTTTTTCTGTATATATTATATATATAAAAAAACTAAAGATAATTAACATAATTATTATGTGTAATTTTATAAATTATTAATTAATTGTCATCCTGGTGTTCCTCGCATTAC